TATAAAAATAAATAAATAAATTGTAATTAAATTGTATTATTTACAAATTATAAGTGTAGCTCTAGACAGATACCTATGGCTATGATTTTGTTAATACACTTGTCTGATTGATTTTATAGTCTCAAGCATTCAGAAATCACACAAAAGAAAATTAAGTGGGTTTTACTACGATAAAACCATGGTTAATTTTTGTAAGGGTTGTGATGTCCACATGTTTTTTTGTTGAAGAAATTATAGAGGCTGTGTCATCTATAGCAAAACTTTAAAAGTACTACAATACCAGGGAGGAAGATCGGGTTGATGATGTTTGTCTGCCATTCTCGCTCTGTCTGCACAGCGTGCGTGAACGCGCTGATGACGAATCCTGTCTGCGCGAACCCGGTGCGCAGAGGTATGCTAATACATACTTTGACAGGCAGGGAGGAAAGCGTATTAAAACGCTCGGACTTAATGATTGCTATCGGGATGTGAAGAGACTTTCAACCAGCATAACACCTTTAATGTTTGATGTTAAATGATTTCATGTGATTTCTCATTTGTGGTGGTGATATTATGATAACTCCGTTTCACTGATTCATTTAATCAAAAGTAATTCCATTTTGTAAGATCATTTTGATCAAAGTAATTCAAACTTCACGAGGCATACGATGACATTCTGTGATCAAATATACAATCAACTTGTTAACACGTTCTACAGCACTACTCAGTGCATTTAGTTATAACTATTGCTATCGGGATGTGAAGAGACTTTCAACCAGCATAACACCTTTAATGTTTGATGTTAAATGATTTCATGTGATTTCTCATTGTGGTGGTGATATTATGATAACTCCGTTTCACTGATTCATTTAATCAAAAGTAATTCCATTTTGTAAGATCATTTTGATCAAAGTAATTCAAACTTCACGAGGCATACGATGACATTCTGTGATCAAATATACAATCAACTTGTTAACACGTTCTACAGCACTACTCAGTGCATTTAGTTATAACTGACTCTTAGTTTGCGTGCTTAAGATTTATTATGGATTCCCTGCATTTACTGCCAGCAAAGCAACACGTAGTAAAATTCGAATAGTGTTTTTATTTTTCGAATAATAATTCCAGATCGAATACTCGATTATTTGTGCACACCCCTAGTTGTTCCCTTGTTTTATTCCCATACATTCAATTATTTCAGTTATGTTGTATTTTGAATGGCAACATCTAATTGGATTGCACATGCAGCGTTTGTCCTCAGTAGCATTGTGGAGGTCACTGGGTTCTGTAAGGTCATGGAGGTTACTGGCGACCCCTCCTGTAGCTGCGGTGGTTGTGTGCATTTAGGGTTGTATATCCTCCACGAGCTGTGCAAGCCAGGGCCTTCTCCGAATCGCTAACAGTTTTATAGCTGTGAGGAAGGCTCTTGGCCACAGATCTTGTTGTGTGCATGAGTGTGTACACTGTGTGAATGTGTGTGTGTGTGTCAGTGTCCTGCTCTGTTCTCCAGATGCTGCCTTGCTTTAACGTGTCACTACCTTGAAGCAAATAGATTTTTCAGAAAGCCACATGGGCTGGTTACTTTGGTCAGGGTTGTAAGAAATACTGACATTGATACATATATA